AATATCACCATCCCCAATCACTTTCAGCCCCCACACGCTGTCACCCCTTCACCCAGCTATATATACGCATACGAGCGTATAATTTCTTTGGGGGGGGATGTGGATCTTGGGTGAGTTCCCACACTTTTTTCCCCAGGCCTTGACCCCTGGGTAGTAACATGGAATCTTGGCCAGCTGTGACATCCGTACACTGACATGACTACATGCTTGATCACAGTTCTCAATCCAGTTTGATGGATGGGTATATTGGTATGTAAACCTGAAGCATTTTAGACATACTTGGACTTGGAGTAAGTGACAAAAGAGGAATAAACTGAAACAATTACATAGCCTGGCTTCTGTGTCGGGTAGTAAAACAGGAAACAATTAAAAACTAGAGGAATGGAGGCTTCCCGTTACACCTTAATATTATTATTATTATTATTACTACTTGGCTGAAATTGTGAAATGCTAAAAACTCAGGTCTCACTTGCCATCAAGGCCTCCATAAAATAATGTTGTAAAAATGTGTATTTGTAATTAGAAAAAAGTTAAAATAGGATAAAATGTACGCTAGTTTAAATGCAATAAATTTTATTACAAAAAAACATTTGCTCCTATATTAACTGTTGCACCAGGAAATGGCAGAGTGTCAGTGAAACAATGCGCATGATGTTTGACAAGAACACCCCAAAATATGAGCATTAGTTCAGTATTTGTGCTACTGCTGTGTTTAGTGCTGCTGGAGTATTCTTGTATGGGTAGAAATGTCCTGAGTTAGGTTTACACAGCGCAAGTGTTTAACCCCTTACCTATGGGACTCGTGTATACATGACTTCCAAGGTATGCATCCATACCACTGAATCGTGTATACACGATTTTAATATTGCAAACAACATTTTTTAATGCAAATAAATCTGTACATCTCCCTGCACAGCCCTGTGCTGCTCCTATAGCAGGTCTGCACCCCTGCCTGGGTGCCGATCGCTGATGTTGTTCCCTCCCAGTCAGAGACTGAAAGAGAGCGTTCACACAGATCTGCACCTAGCCTGAGGTGCAATCTATCCTGGCAGCCCACTGGACTACCAGTAAATAATTGCCCCCTTTCCATGCCCAAAAGGCAGTCATGCCCATGAACAACATCTTATGTTTATGGTATGATATGTTTTGCAAGCATTGTGCTAGTACTTGAATGTGAATACACGGTGTATTCAAAGTACAATATAAAAATGTACTCACTTTACCTCCATTCCAGCACCGCTATCTTCATGCTTCGTGGTTGTTTCCTTTATTTGCTCTGCTTGGGATGCCTCTCCAAGCAGGGCAAATCTCATCAGTGACGTCGGCACGCTGACTTCGTTGCCAGTGTTGGAACAAAGTAACACCATGCCAAAGACGAAAGCGTAACACTACAGCGCCGAAACGCGCGTTGGGCATTTTAAACGCTTATTTCTTTTTACTTTATGTTTGTTATTTTGGGCTTTTGGTGATGGATATTTAGTGTAAATATTTATTTTGAGAGGAGTGGTTCTATTTAGGGTTTCTGTTATTAGCAAACTTTGTCTCCTGGGACCGGACTCCGGTCAGATTTCCTTAGAGCTAGTGACTCTTAGTATTCCCTTGTGTATTGGATCTCCTTATTTTATCGAGGGAGTCCAGAGGAGAACTTAATATTTCTTTACAAGATATTCATTCTAATGAGGGTGTTTTGTTGAGGGAAACTAGGCAGTTGATTGATATTAGATTTTAGTCTATAGAGGTTTTTTCCGTTTTCGATCTGCATTTGACATCAACCTTAACGGGCACTGACAGCTAGAATTTCACACAACATTATTTATTTTAATATACACTATCTGTTTATTCACCCTATTTAATTGTGATATCAAATTTGACCAGAAATTAAGATATTGTGCAACTTTGTATTTTTATCTCTTTCAGTTTTTTATTATTAAGATTTTATATTGTTTTTATACACTAGATATTTCCTAGTATTAAACTCCTCTTTTTTATTATTATTTATATTGCATTCATCACAAACTGCTGTATGTCACATGGATGCGTTCCACTACAGAGGAAAAAGTAAACGATACATGCGTTCCACCGATGGAACACAAAACCCGGAAGCAGAAATGCTATACGAACGCACGAACCGGCGGCAACAAACAAGCACCAATTATGCATTATTTAAAAGGATACTCTCAGCCAGCAACATATCAGCAACTGAGGAAGCCTCTGAACGAGGCGAAACGTGTTTTACACCATTAAGGACTATTTAAAAGACTTACCTTCAAAACTGTAAGGTCTTGATTTTATTTATTTTGTTTATTACCTATTGTGCACTTTTAATAAAGCACTTTATTTTCATACTTACCTTTGTGAGGATACCTCATTACTTGAAACCTCCTGGCAGTATAAAGAAGGGAGTGGGAACCTTGATATCCCACAGAGCTGGAAAGTTGAGCCTTATCCATAGGCTCTTTATTTGTGAGTGAAATTTCATCCACTTTTTGCACTTTATAATTGTATACAGACAATATTGCACTATTATGTGTCCCATTTTGTTTTATCTCTAGAAATATTTATTATTGTCAGCTATTCAAATAAGAAGATACTCCACCTTATACTGTATGTATTTTCGGTTACATAACTGACTGGGTGTCTACAGCATTTATTTTCAAGCAATACAGACATCTATCCGTGTATATCAGAGCCAACCTTAATTCTCGGCATAAGCTATACTCTTTTGAGATAGCTCTATAGATATCAGGATCCTGATAATTGTTACAGATAATTTGACCTTCTAGTGATATTTAGAGGTCTATCTGATACTTCATTGCAATATGTTTCAGAATCAGTTTGAGCTGAATTGATAGCAGATCTGTATTTAAGCCCTACGATACCCAATCTTTATACAGGTCTTAATGCGGCTGTGTCATGGCCGAATCCCGTTTTTTTTTAATCCCCCTCCTGACTCCACTACATCTAACTGCCCCCTAGTCACCCCTAAATGCACCTAAGCTCCCCATATTACCTATTTTTAATCTTTATTTTCTGCCCCGATCTATATTCAGGGCGCCGCCATCTTTGTGTGTGTAGATAAAGTCCCTGTGGACACATCATCTGCCCACACTAGATAGCGCTGTGAGATTCCCGCACATGCCCAGTGAAACACTTGGGCATGCGAACGGGAATTTTATCTATACATTCGTCAGAAAGATGAATGAATGAATAGAAATGTCAGACGAACAAACAAACACTGAATATCCGTGTTTGTTTGTTTGTTCAGTTTATTACAAGGAGGGAGCTACCGGCACGCAGCTCCCTCCTTGTAATATGTAAAGATAGAATCGGCAGAGAGCTGTGCTCCCCGCCACTTCCTAAACCCCCCATGTCCTCCCTCACTCTATGGTGGTCAATATGACCCCCATAATAGCATAAGGGAGATTAAAATCTCCTGAATGCCCCTACTCTACGCTATATCGCGAGTAGGGGCATGTCTACTAAATAGTGAGCAGCCTGTGGCGGGTGGGGGCCCTAAATAACAATAAGGGGGGGGGGACCTATTGTCCTCCCCCCCCAGCCCACACCCCTGAGCGGTGGGTGGGGGCCCTAAATAAGAATGTGATGGGGGACCTACTGTCCTCCCCCCGGCCCCCACCCCTGAGCGGCAGGTGCGGGCCCTAAATTAAAATTTCCCCCACCCCCAATCATGGTGACTAGGGGTACCCAAGCCCTAAAGAATTATGGGAAAATTGCTGTGACCACCGGAAACGAAGCACACTTTGCTCCTCCGCTGGTCACGGCAATGGAAGCCTCCATAAGAGAAATAGTCCCTACTTTGTCTTAGTTTTTAAAGAAAACTAGAGCAGACAGGAAGAAATGAAGAACAGATCCTGAGAGAGGGAGAGAAGAGGAATCGATTGGGGAAAGGTAAGTTCGGCATGACAGTGCTGCTTTAACTCACCACCTCTTAGAGTTAACACATATTGTCTACCAGAGGTGGATGTACATCTGTTTCGCCTTGCTCACTTTCCCTCTTTATTACTTATAAGGATTTAGCCCGAGTATCTTTATACAGTTACACTCAGTGGAGTACTTTGTGAGATATCTTAGGAAGCCACATATATATATATGTATATCCTATATCCTAAGCCACCAGAAGTATCTCTGAGGACTTTATTAGTCCCTTTTCAATAGTATTTCTCTACTGCATGATACCTCCCTCTCCTTTTAACCCCTTTAATTAGTAGACATACCACGCATGGTTTTCCAAGCAATACATTAAAGGTAATTCACAATATTTTGGAATGCGTAGGTATAGTCTAATATAGTATTTAACCACACTTGATTCTGCACATTTACGTTTACTGGGACATTATTTCACTTTAATATGGTTTAGCTCTATTCATTAGTGTCACTCCAAATACTTTGGTTCCTAGACGGAACATTTGTCTTATTGTGTTATATACAGGGTTAGGCCCTCAATTTGGAGGACATATTTAAAGGGACCTTATTCTATTATTATTTTTATAGATCTGCACCTATCCTGAGGTGCAATCTATCCTGACAGGACTACCAGTAAATTATCGCCTTCTCTCCAGGCCCAAAAGGCAGTCATGCCCATGAACAACATCTTATGTTTATGGTATGATATGTTTTGCAAGCATTTTGCTAGTACTTGAATGTGAATACACGGTGTATTTTAAGTACAATATAAAAATTTACTCACTTTACATCCATTCCAGCACCGCTATCTTCATGCTTCGTGGTTGTTTCCTTTTTTTGCTCTGCTTGGGATGCCTCTCCAAGCAGGGCAAATCTCATCAGTGATGTCGGCACGCTGACTTCGTTGCCAGTGTTGGAACGAAGTAACACCACGTCACTTCAATCCTATACTCTCTAGCTGGTGCTTATAGCATCATGTAGGGAGTTTACATAGTGCACTTGCTGTGGTTGCAATGGGGGAAGACATGAGGTAACCCCCGTGGGAGATCTTTTCTGCTCTACCTTGTCAGTCAATGCAGCAAGCGAACCCAATTACAACCCTGGCACACCAAGCTTACCCAATACCTCCGAAAATGTTCCAGAACTGCTTATCGCTGCTGGAGAATGTTTCACTCTGCATCTGGCTTCCTCCACTATAAATGTATGCTGCGCTTCTACAGTTTGGCTCTCTCCTCTGCAAAAGTAAACTAAGTCTCTGCATAATGCTGCTCCAACCTACCTGTCCTCCCTAATACACAAGTATGTCCCCCCTAGGCCCCTGCGACTTGACGAAAGCGTACGTCTAACCTCTGTTCATACTCCTACCTATGATGCTCGCCTTCAAGACGTTTCCATAATAATAATGCCTTGGCATCCCAGGAGCTGACTAACTACTGGGAGAAAAACCTGTATTTAAATATGTTTCACACCTATTATATACATTTACTAGCAAAACCGCCAGCACACTGTATAGATAAAATACGCTCAATCAGATGAGGATATGATGTTTGTGTGTGATATTGAGATTATCAGTTTGTATGAACCATATCTAACCTGTTGTTATGTGCACCATGGTACAGCATTGTGGGAGGCCATTCTTAATAAAGTTTACAGTTATGAAGACATGTGCTTGATCTCCTTATATAAACAAGATAAAACAGTTTGGGGCATTACCGGCGCCTTAAAGTTTACATTTTAGGCTTTAACAGTCAAGCTGGAAAAGTCACTGTTTTACCCTAATATTGTACAATTCACACTTTATCCAGTTACTCTGCCACATGGGGTTAATAAACACTCAGGCTTCCCCAAACTCCGGCTCTCCAGATGTTGCTGAACTACAACTCCCATGATTCTACGAAGGAAATAGATCGGCTGAGAATCATGGGAGTTGTAGTTCAGCAACATCTGGAGGGCCGGAGTTTGGGGAAGCCTCTAGTTCAGGGATAGGCAACCTTTGGCACTCCAGATGTTGCAAACTACATCCCCCATAATGCTCTTACACCGATAACGCTGGCAAAGCATCATGGGAGGTGTAGTCCAAAACATCTGGAGTGCAGACGGTTGCCTATACCTGCACTAGTTTAACATGCCACAGCCAGCACTGCCCATCACATCACAAGCATTTGGTCAGCACTTTCAACAAGTCCATTGTAGGCCAATTTATCGAACGGAGCGCGCTGATTCGCTATCTCACATGTCAGTCAATGAGTCACGGCCTATCAGGACGCACTGTCACCGTCGAATGATTGACAGCTTTTTCAACCTATCGGGTGCACTCATCGACTACGGCGCTTAGCAAAACACTGTCAAATTTGACTTGCTCGGCGTGGACGAAGTCCCGCCTCCCAGCCGCTGGGCTGTCTGTGAGTGACAGCCAGGTCCCAGGAGTCGCCCCGCCCCCTCCCCTTGAGAGAGGCCCAGCCTGTGGAAGCATCCGACGCGCTTTTGTCCTCGCGCTCCTCTTTTATCCCCATTGAGCGGGCGGTTTGGTGGGCGTGGCCAAGGCCGGGAGCGCTCACGCACGGCGTCCCGCCGCTTCAAGGGCTCGAGCCAGTGCGCGCGCCCGCCTTCCTGCTCGGCCACGGAGACAGCAACTCGGGGGCTCCTGCGGGCTGCGGCTGGTCTGGCGGAGCTGAGGCGGTAGGCCCCACCGGACAGGCGCGGGAAACAGCGTGAGCATCGGCAGCCCAGGCGCACACAGCAGCCGCCATCATGGCCAGCGCCTCGTACCACATCTCCAACCTGCTGGAGAAGATGACATCCAGCGACAAGGACTTCAGGTGAGGCGGGGGCCGGGCGGGGGGAGTGAGGGGATTACTGGGCGGGCGGGCGGGGGGTGGCCGGGTGTGGGACTTATAACAGGCCTCTGTCAGGGGGTGCGGCCTAGCTGTCACCAACTACCTGCCTTGTGGGCCACCGCGAGCATGACTGGGCCTCCTCCTCCTCCTGTCAGTCATAACCCACTGCACACAGAACTATACAGAGAGAGAGAGAGAGAGAGAGACCTCACTGCACACAGAACTATACAGAGAGAGAGAGACCTCACTATACAGAGAGAGAGAGAGCTCACTGCACACAGAACTATACAGAGAGAGAGAGAGACCTCACTATACAGAGAGAGAGAGAGACCTCACTATACAGAGAGAGAGAGACCTCACTATACAGAGAGAGAGAGAGACCTCACTATACAGAGAGAGAGAGACCTCACTATACAGAGAGAGAGAGACCTCACTATACAGAGAGAGAGAGAGAGACCTCACTATACAGAGAGAGAGAGAGAGACCTCACTGCACACAGAGAGAGAGACCTCACTGCACACAGAGAGAGAGACCTCACTGCACACAGAGAGAGAGACCTCACTGCACACAGAGTGAGAGACCTCACTGCACACAGAGAGACCTCACTATACACAGAGAGACCTCACTATACACAGAGAGACCTCACTATACACAGAGAGACCTCACTATACACAGAGAGACCTCACTATACACAGAGAGACCTCACTATACACAGAGAGACCTCACTATACACAGAGAGAGACCTCACTATACACAGAGAGAGACCTCACTATACACAGAGAGAGACCTCACTATACACACAGAGAGAGAGAGAGAGAGACCTCACTATACACACAGAGAGAGAGAGAGAGAGACCCCACTATACACAGAGAGAGAGAGAGAGAGAGACCCCACTATACAGAGAGAGACCTCACTATACAGAGAGAGACCTCACTATACAGAGAGAGACCTCACTATACAGAGAGAGACCTCACTATACAGAGAGAGAGAGACCTCACTATACAGAGAGAGAGAGACCTCACTATACAGAGAGAGAGAGACCTCACTATACAGAGAGAGAGAGACCTCACTGCACACAGAGAGACCTCACTGCACACAGAGAGACCTCACTATACAGAGAGAGACCTCGCTGCACACAGAGAGA